TCGAAGAAAGGGGGCGGAGCATTCAGCCGCTGGTGTAAAGTGAGAAACTGATTTTTCTTAGTAATCCCTGAAACGGACTGACTGTCCGCCGCGAACAATTTCACATAAGCTGTCTACAATCGACTTCATCACAGGCAGCGTTCTTCATTAGGACATCCAGCTACAATTACTTTATCTTCCTTGCGTATACTGTCATTGAGATGTGAAAAACATGCGCATGTTCTGTTGAGACACACGTCCGCTTTGATGGCTGGTTATAGTATAAATAATAGTGAAATCCGGTTCACCTAATATAGTTGAACATAATATCTATCATGCTGTGTAAGCCCAAAAAATGAACATGCATTTTTATATATTCTCTATGGCAATAACGTAAGACTATTGGTGAACCCGAAAGATTATTCTTACGATATTGACGAGTTAAAATATTCCCATAGGAGCTTCGAACATGTTGTTCAGACCAAAAAGCGATGCCTGTCCGCGGACACGCCGCTAAGAAGCTGTTGTCCGCCTAATTGACCTGATGACCCCTAGACCTCTTGGAGAACGTATTGTGTCGTGTAAACACGGAAGAAAGAATTTACGCACTTTGTTTATGATAGCCATGCGACTCAACACGACATTAGTAAAATAAGTAATAAAATTTCAAACTACTTGAAGTAAAGAGCTTCACTTGTTCTATCACCGATGTTGGATGTTAACCTAGTCTTGAACACTTCAGCCGCATTAACCTTCCTGACCTTTAGGAAAACAAACCGTAGAGGTAAGCGTGAGCTCGCTAACATTTCAGCATATTGGCAAATTAACTCCAAACAGATGGCTGTCACTCAAATTGACTGCATTCAGCGTTCAGCTGTTCCTCACCGTCACTAACCTGTAGTTGGCACGAATACCGCAGAGTAGAGCTAACGAAGTGCGGCATCTGGCTGAACGTTGGCCGTGCCGAACTGTTCCATAATCGATGGCTCTGATAGCGAAGGCGGTTGCCCAATTTATCCCTTGCTCTGCCTCCGGAATGACGATGAGTGAGCGCCGTTGTGACGGCTGTGGGCAAGAATATTTGGCAATAGTCTTGGCGAATGGTCAGGGGAGGCGTTTCTGTAAACATTGATTACCTCCGTGATGCCTGTACTAGTAGAGGTAATCCAGCATTTTCAAACACTGGTACGTTTCGAACAAAATCATGCTGCTCCGTGTTCAGGACCTGTCTCAGAGTTCTCTTGCGACAGCCCTAAAAGTTACCAACATCCGCCTTCCGCACTTTTTGAGTCTCCTCCGCACGTAACTTTACCGATGAATATGGGTTTGGTAGATTCGCATAACTTAATGGACCAGGTGAAGACATCGTGCTCAAAGCGAAGGCGGTGAAAGTTGATGAATTCTTTGAATTCTGACGTGGTAGAATTGTTTGATAGCTCACAAGTTCTCGTTTCAAGATCTTCTGGTTTCTTGCAGATACTGCTGCCCTTCGGGAACTACATGATAATCATTCATCGTTCGTTCCTTACCGTTTACAGACTGACATCCTATCCTTCAATCAATCAATCATCTAAAAGACTTAACTGCTTAAATTAGCTACTGACCTACAGCCCTACTGAACTGCTGACATACTGAACTACTCGACTACTGTCCTCTGAACTACTGAACTATTGACCTACTGCAATACCGATTCACACAACTACTCAACTACTGAATTTACTAACCTATTGAACCACTGACCTTAGGAACTACTGACCTACTTAACCATTGAACTTCTGACCTATTTACCTAGTGAATTACCTGACTTAATGATCTATTGCACTACAGAACTGCTCAACTGCTGACACTGAACTACTGTCCTGCTAAACTATTGACCTACTGAACTACTGACAGATTTGTTTAGTTAGCTGCTGAGCTACAGATATACTGACCCGCTGTCCTGCTGAACCACTGACCTGCTGAACCTACTGACCTGCGACCTACTGACCTATTGAAACACTGAACTTTTTACCTACTAACTTTCTGAACTACGGGACTATTGAAACACCGAATAAGAGAATTACTTACCTACTGACCTACTTATGTACCTTGTTATATGCTTTTGAAAAGTCACATACTCCTCTGATTATGCTACATGCGCGAGTACTTTTTAATAAAATTGTATAATACGTACTTAAGCGGATCAGATAAAATTGTTTACGATTACTGCCTTTGTGAGATCATTTACGCGCTAATTTACCATTTATCATTGATGAAATTTTGTTCCTATTTAAACTTCGTTGATTCGCAATTCAAGGAATCGAAAAACATTTATCATCACGTGGAAGCTGGCGGATCATGATTACTTAAATAAACATAGAGATTCGATATACGTAAAAATAAATACGATAGATCTACTAAACAGCGTGATATAAATGAAACTGATGACCAGTGCAATTCTGTGCTGCAGTTTCTGGAAGTCTGAGGGAACTGGACGTTGACAAAATACGACGCAATCATTAATTCAAAGAAAATAATTATCTCATGTAATTTCTTTCGAATGATTCACGTAACGTGAAGGCTATTCTGTTCTGACCACTTAAATGCACTGTTTATCTGACGTTTGACTGGTCTCGTGCCAGCGATTCAGCTTCATCTGCGAATAACCGGTATTTTTCCTCAAAACTCTGCATCCTTCTGAAGTCAGAGTTATGCCTGCCCATGAACCGGCGAGGTTCACAAATAACTCGAAGAGAACGCAAAACACTTAAACAAAGTAACAAAGTAACAGAAACGTTTCCAGAAAAGTGCTTTGACACATATACCCTTCACTTCACTTTCCATGACCGCTTGTTCTCTTGGGTCGCAAAGGCAGACTTGACAGACTACGCTTCCAAAATTCCCGGTCCGATGCCGGTAGAAGTTAACCAGTCTAGAGCAGACTCCTTCAATACACTTACACCAGGTTAACATTGACCGCCCTTGAGTCTTCTGCCTGACCGTTTGGCAAGAAACAGTTGCTTCGCCTTCCTTTCTGGAGGCATTCGCAACACACGCCCAAGCCATCGCAGCTGTGACTTCTCGATCTGAAGAAATAAAGCCAGCGACTCGCCTCAGAAAGCCCATTTCAGCAGCTTGTACCCAGGCTCGAAGCTTTTCGTTCATGGTCCACGACTCATGACCGTAGGTAAACATGGGGATAAAGATCGACCTTCACAGCGACAGCTTAGTTTTCAGACTGAGCCCTGCTTTAGTCACAAACGATCGGGGTAGTCCAATTCACCAGTCGATTTCTTCCTCCAACTTTCCATCACTAGTAAATATGGTTCCGAGGTACTTGAACTTCTCCACCTGCTCCACTG